AATGCTGAGTCAGCTTTGATTCAATTTCGCTAGGTTTGTAACCGTTCACGCGATCCACTTCTTTACCTCCCTGGCAAATGAGAGACCAACGATTAAACTACATTAAACTACAACAATTCATGGATGGAAATACCTTGAAATATATTAATGTTGGTGCAGCAGCAATAGAGTGCTTAGCGGAAACATCGGGCACGCCTTCAGCATCGATGAAAGCAAAACCAACTGGGTATGATTTATAATCATCCTGTGTGTTGCAAAGTCGCGTAAACTAAAAAAAATGAGTGAAGGTCGATTTACCTGTAGGTCTTTGAGAACTTTATTCACTTGTTCGCATGGGGGCGCCCATGATGCATAGAAATGCACTACAGCAAGTCTACAACGAAAAGCTTAGCATATACAAAAACTACTTGGGAACTCGAAAATGTGACTTACTTCCAATCTAGCAGAAATTTATTGAACTCTTCGGCACTGTTGAGCTGCTGTACTACCATGATCTTAAAGCAGCGACTGCCTGGCAGTGAGCACGATTAAAAATTAGAAATCAGCTGGTCACCTGCTAGCTTTTCTTGCGTCATGGACGAAAAAATTCATTGGAGCAGCTTAGCGTGATTCGAGCGCGCTAAGTACGGGATTTTGCGCATCAGTGTGGGGAGTTGCTACTAGAGTTTTCCTGTAGTTCTTCTGTGATAGCATAGAGTAGCTAGGTGTTATCAACTTTCAGCATATGAGACTGTTGTCGTTTTTTCTAGATTGAAATTTCCGCTGTCGCTGTATGGGGTTGTTTCATTCATGAAACTACCCCATACAGAAGACTGAAAAGGTGAGAGCTATCAGACTGATCTTGTTGAGATAGTCTAGTGTCCTGAATGAGGATGTCGTTTATTAAGTGCACCGATGAGGTGGATCAATCTATGAAAAGTGTTGCACTATCTATACATTTGGTTTGTGTTGGTTCAAAAATCTTATTGCACTGTCCGCCCAGTTTTTTCTCACAGGTTTTCTTCCGGGTCAGCTTTCTTATAGAAGCCGATAATGGTGTGAAAAAAGGTGATTAGAATTCTTTACACATTTCTGCGTTTATAACCAATCGAAGTGCTCTTCTATACAGTAGGGAAATGCTCTTCTTTAGATGCGCGCCATACTTGATCCAGGGTATGACATTAGGTGGCGATCGGCTCCACCCAAGCGGACAAGTAGCATGAATAGTGACGGTGAAGGTGCGGTTGTTGTCCACCTGATCACTTGATCCACATCACTATCAGTCAAAGACGTCCATTCAGTCTGCTTGATCCGCTTCATCCACTTCGCTTGGTCAGCTCATTAACTTGACCACTAGCAAAGCGGATCCAGTGGATCAAGCGGAACAAGTGGATATGGATCAGGTGTAGTACATGATTCGGGATACGAAAACGACCAACCGTTGGGCCGACCAACATCACGAAACAACGCAAAAAAGAAAGGGTTTCTAAGGGAAAGACAAGATAAATGCAACTGTGTCGTACTCAAGAACAGTTAAGCACGTGTTTTGATAGATAGAACAAACACAGCAAGTGGAACTTGCAAGGTAGATGAAAACTAGCTAAGATAAGGCATAATGAAGACCAACAGACGGTGAGCAGAGACTTGTTTTATGCCTACCAAAAGTTGGCTAGTGTAGAACTTTATAGATCAATCCACCCCATCGGTGCTCTTATTGA